TATTTTGTTTTCAGAATTGTGATTTGTTTAGCACTTCTCGGCTACCATACTTCAGACTTCACTACCCGCCCACCATTCCCTAGAGCTTTCTTGTATTGTAGCACGTCGTCTTTCTCTTCTATCTCTTTTTGCATTTTTTTCACAGCACAAATCTGTTCGATAAAACTCAAGAACACGCCTCTTACGGTATATGATGTATGATATTTGCATGGCCGCATGCTCACATTTGATAACTTCTTTGTCTAATTAAGCAGGCAAGGCTTTGGAATATATGTTATGTTATTCAGCAGTATTATTTTGGAAAAATACATTTGCTTATATATGTCATGAGCAATTTTAGCACCCTTTTCCATATGGTTTTTCTGTCTGGATCCACATACTGAACAAGCAAGTTTCACCCAATTCTCTCTGACAGAAGATTAAAACGCAAGTACTCTGTCATTCAGCAGTTCACCTTCAAAGAAAGCCGTGTTCACCTTCCCCTCAATTTACCCTGTTTTATTTGTACAGCAGCCTTCAGAACATGGATTGGGCCTCAAGAGCTCTTGCTCGTTTGTTTTTCCTGACCATGGTGCAGCTATACAGAACTGGCACATTTCAATGAATGGGGTATAGACTGGATCATTACTTTTCTAAAGCATTTTGTTTTGTGTGTGTGAATACTATCTATTTCAGCAAGGACACTTTAAATTGATCAAAAGTGACCGAAAAGACATGTATAATGTTGAAATAAATGCTGTTCTTTTGAACTTACTATTCATCAAAGAATCCTGAAAAAAAAACACTATTGCTTCCACAAAAATATTAGGCAGAACAACTGTTTTCAACATCGATAATAATAAGAAATATTTATTGAGCAGCAAATCAGCATATTAGAATGATTTCTGAAGGATCATGTGACACTGAAGACTGGAGTAATGGCTGCTGAAAATATAGCTCTATCATAGGAATAAATTATATTTTAAAATATATTCAAATAGAAAAGTTATTTTTAAATTGTATTAATATTTCACAATATTACTGTTTTCACTGTATTTTTGCACAAACAAATGCAGTCCTGCTGAGCATAAGAGACTTCTTTCAAAAACATTAAAGAATCTTACAAGAAACCCCAAACTTGTGAACGGCAGTGTATAAAATGAATGAAGTGTGTGTGTGTGTGTGTGTGTGTGTGTGTGTGTGTGTATAATGTGTGTATTCTTTTGTTTCAGGTTAATGAAATATTTCTTTTTGTTAAAAAAGAAAAATTGCTTAATAAAAAAATATATTTTTTAAAGCATTTAAAAAAATATTAGTCCCTATTTTGTACCCTGTTCATGGAAAAGGCCAACTTATGTATGCAGAGACACCAAAGGGAGAATGAGCTCCAGTGCGAAACATTCGAATGCATCCTTCTGACTGTACTTCTGGGACTCTTTGTTTCATTGTTTTATACTGAAGGACTCCCAGTAAAAGGACTGCCGATAAAAGAGCACTGAGATGAAAACCTAGCATCAGCAGAAGGACACACCCAGAATTCTCTTTCCTGTCTGAACAGGAAAGTAATGTCACCCAGGAGGCTCATACCGTCTGTTCACTCTCTTTCTCTCAGATATTTGTTTCCTTTTTATAAACAAATGTTGTTTTTTCATCACATGAATCAGTTTGCATGGTTGTACATTCAAGCTGTTACAAATTGGTAAACATCCGTAGACGTAATACTAATTATAAAACAGATTGTGTTGTGTGGAAAATTTATATTTCTACTGTGATGTTTTATGATTAGAGTGTCACTGAAATAATTTGAGATTTGAAGAATAGATTTAAAAGATTCCTTCTCAAGCACACACACACGCACAATCTTGAGTGCAGCAGGAAATCGGCTCTTCATTTCCAATGCAAATGCTGTGAATCTCAAAGCATGCAATATTTTTT